GCATATTCCAGGATCATAGCAGTTATAACATGAAATATAAACACTTATTATGAATATAGAAATATAGTAATACAATATTATTGCCTCCATGGCATATTTCCAACACCCCTTCCACCGTTACCCACCTCTTTCTTTATCAAGGCAGTTATTGTGCACACGGCTGCGCAAGGATGAAACGGTCACATGAATGTAAATTAGGAAGTTTCGCTAGCATTGTGCTCCTCCGTAATCTACAAGCCAAAAAAATTATGTGCTCTTTTCACGGTCGGAGGAGTAGTTGATTAATTATAAATTATGTATCTTGTTTATTAAAAATATTAATATTGCTCGCCTCAAAGAATTCTTGGTTCTTCTCTAAATTTTCGGGGCACAAGGAACACTACGAACACGTCATTTTTTTCAAGTAACTCATTAGAACATCAAGGATGAGATAGTAGATTCCTAGAGGGCCTAAGCTCGCAGATTGAGACTGACAAAGGCATCACTCGCACCTTGCTTATCAAACATGGTGTTTGATCCCTAGTGGACTAGGGGTACAACCATCCTCCTAACCTCCCTAGTGATTCTCAAAAATCTTGTATAACTTTGATGAAACTAATTATGGAGCGAAAGATAAATAGATATTCTTTGTTTCCTAACACCCTCTAATTACCTGGTCAACCTTACCCGCCTTCCCGCCTCAAACAAGTCTCAGTCACAGAGACCCATCGGCCTCTCCATTCAACAAAGCTTGCCTCTTGTTTTTCTAGGCAGATAAAAGACCTGCCATCCATTACAAGAAGTGACTACAATCCCCGCCTAGGGCAATTTACAGCAATGCCCTAGATAATGTGTGCCGCTCAACCATGCAGGGAGAGGGCACGTAGAGGGCCACACATCTAGCGAACATTGGGAGAGACGACCGACGTTGCTCCACCTCGAAGCCTCGTCGACGACAATCACCATCGAGCAAGAGCCCCACTTGAACGTTGGTGATGAAGATGATGGTCGGACACCTATAGGAGGATGAAGATGATAAATAGCTCACCGACAATGAGGATCTGGTAGAACAACATGTGTTGGAGAGGAATGATCTCCTTGTACGGGCGGTGGCCTCCTTGTAGAAGATGAAGAAACGTCAAATACCTGCGTGCCAAGGATGTGCATCCAAAGAGCACATTTAGGGCCTCCAGTGAAGGAGGTTGAGGCATGAGACCGATGGTTGCCTCTAAACATACAAGAATTCGGCTGAGACTCCTTCAAGTCGAAGGAGAAGATGAGCCATGATACAGTTCCCAACTCAAGTGAAGAGCTGCCAATCCATAGATTAAGAATAAATATGCACCGACTCTAAAGAAAGAAGAAAGAGCATGCATCAGGTTGCAGGCGGGACGGGTTGCGGCTGCCCGCCAAACACCGAAGCGGGAGGCTGCGTTTTTAGCGGCCACCGCGGGCAGCCCGCCTCACGCCGCTTCACTTTTGGCGGACAACGCGGCAGCCCGCATGAGCCCGCTAAAGTCCCGCTAGGCAGCCGGTGCTTGTACTACAAGCATAAACCTGATTCATTCAGTAAACTCAGGGAGACTCGCTGAACGTCTGTCGGCATGCTTGCGAGTTGCGACAAACGGGGCAGCGCGCGTGGGCAGGCGCAACAGGAGCGTATAGGGATGTCTTTACGTAGGTGGGCTAGGCCCGATGAACTGAGATCCTTTGGTGTCAGTTTGGATCTACGTCTACGTGCGTGCATGGCATATCTGTCCATCATGGTGTGGCGCCATGACGATGCTGTACGGCTGCTGGAACTGCTTGACAAAGACAAATTGTTCGATGATGCGGCCGCCGCCGCTGCGCATGTGGGAGCCAGTGGAGGAAGAACATCCTCACTGCAGAGTCGGCGCCGCCGCAGCGGCCCCCGGCGGACATATTATCACGGTAGGCAAGGTATGTGTGAGGATTAGATTGTTGCGGAATCTCGCGCTTACGAAGGATTCAACTTGGAGACGGAAGAAGGTCATCGATTTTGCAGGGCTGCCGTCCCGATCGGGAGGAAGAGAGAGATAAGAAACCCTTTTACTTTTGCGGTGCGGGACATGCGGGACGTGCGGGACTCCCGTTGGACAAAGCGGAATCCCCTATTTGCCGCTCGTTGCGTCAAACTGCCGGCGCTTCGCACAGGCCGACCGACCGAGCAGCGACGCAACGGGCCGGCCCGTTTAACCGTTCCAGCGCTCCGGGTTTTGGGAACCTTCTAGAGGTTCCCAGCTGGGTTTTTTCCGGTTTTGGGAACCTTCTAGAAGGTTTCTGAACCGGTTTTTTATTTTTCTTTCTTTTTCTATTTCTGTTTCTTTTACTTTTCTTTTTTTTCTTTTTTGTTTTTCAAGTTTATGTTTTCTCTTTCAAAAAAATGTTCGCGCTTTTACAAAAATATTCAAAATTTTGAAAAATGTTCGTGAACAAGTTTGTTCAAAAAATGTTCTTTTCATTCATAAATTTGTCTCAAGATTCAAAAAGTGTTCATGCTTTAAGAAATTGTCCAAATTTGTTCTTCGTTTCAAAATTTGTTCTCAAGATTCAAAAAATGTTCGTACTTTTAGAAAATATTTATGTTCAAATTTTGTTCTCAATTTGAAAACTTTGTTCTCTAAATTCAAAAAATGTTCGTTTTTCCTTTTCTTTTTTTCGTTTTTCAATTTTATTTTTCTTTTTTAGAAAATGTTCGCATTTTTTGGAAAATATTCGTGCTTTAAAAAAAATGTACAGAATTGGCAAAAATGTTCGTGTTTTCAAATTTTGTTTGGAATTTTAAAATTTTTGTTTCTAATTTTCGAAATATGTTCTCGTTTTTTTTAAATGCTCGTGTTTAAGAAATATTCAGGAATTTTCAGAAAATTATCTGCTTACAAAATTCGTTTATTATTTCCGAAATTGTTCGTCTTTCAAAAATTGTTCGCATTCTCAAAATTTGTTCATGACTTCATAAAGTGTTCGTGTTTCAAAAAAGGTTAATGTGTTTAGAAATTGTTAATTTCTCAAGAACTGTTCATGTTTTGAAGTATTGTTCGAGTGTTTCAAAAAATGTTCCTGTTTAAATATTTGTTCAGAAAATTAATAAATGTTTTTATTCTCAAATTTTGTTCAGAGTTTCAAAAAAAAACTTCCAAATTTCAAAAAATGTTCGCGTTTCAAATTTTTGTTTGGAATATCAGGAAATGTTCAGTATTTAAAATATTTGTTCAAAAATTCAAAAAATGTTCACGCTTTCATATTTGTTTAGAATTTCATAATTTGTTTAAAAATTCAAATAATGTTCACGGTTTTAAAATTTGGTAAAAAATTCAAAAAAAGTTCAAGAATTTCAGAAAATGTTCGCGCTTTCAAATTTTTGTTCATAATTTCATGAAATATTCCATTTTATGTTTTTTATTCAGCAATTCAAAAAAATGTTCGTGGTTTCAAATTTTTGTTTGGAATATCATGAAATGTTCCATTTTTCCAATATTTTTCACAAATTTAAAAAATGTTCACACTTTCATATTTGTTTTGAATTCCATAATTGGTTCACGAATTCAAAAAATCTTCGTGGTTTAAATGTCTGCCCAACTTGTTCCAAAATTCAAAAAATGGTTCATGTTTTTCAAAAACAATTTCTGCCTTTTCAATTTTGTTGTTCACATATTCGAAATATGTTTCGGTCTCTAATTTTTTTCATTAATTCAAAGAATGTGCGCACTTTTAAAATACACGCAATAAAATAAATTACACTTTTAAAAACAACGCAGCAACTAATTTCGGGTTCGCTACAGTAATTGGCTACAGTACACAAGTCAGGTTTTAATACTTTAAGCTGTGCGTTGCTCTACAGCCAACTAAGCTATTCTACCGGAGTGGCTACGTGGGCACGTTCGCAACCTATAGGTCGCCAGTTCGAATCCCCTCCGCGCCTGCCACTAAGTTTTGCCATATTTTTCGACCCGCTTCATGGGCCGGCCCAGTCGAGCTGCCCCCTGTGCGTGGCGCCGCCAATTTGACGCAAAGAGCGTCAAATAGGGGGCCCATCCTTAAGCATGCACCAATCCCAAAGGAGTCTGCTTCCGTTTCTTGGGAACCAAAAGTAAAGCGTGAGATCTATGGATAAAGACTCTTTGAGTGTTTGGAGAATGGATGGGTATTATCTTACAGAAGATTAAGGATAGGGGGGAGAGGCAATGATGGAGTGATTATCTTGTTGATACACAAGTAGTTACAAACTTCTATATGGTCCAATAATTCCAGTGAAAATGTAGAATTAGTATTGAAATATATAGGATTACCATCTTACAAACTTCAAACAAAGGCCTGCTTAAATGTTTGAAAGACGGGGTTCGTTTCACACAATTTGCATGCTTTCATGATTCATAAAAAAACATGCTCCAGTTATGGAGTATTTAGCATGTGGGGTCAGACTTTCTTGTCGAATTTCGTGGTTGAACTTTGACCATCAATTCGACCTATAAATATGGGAAAAAGTTGCACCTCGAAATACATGGACACCATGTAAATAGGGATAGAACGAGTAGCAGTTAAAATCTCATTTGAATTAGGCTTTCAGCTAATAGAACAGGAATGCTCTTTCACACATATCGAACTATCAGGCACTCATCTCGATTTGCGTTAGAAGGGCAATGGTTATTTATACACTCAACAAATACATCTTCTCTGAGCGATCATGGTTCATATTGGTTCATAAGCCTGATTAACAAGTTAATGTACAACAAGGTGACCAAGACCAAGCCTTGGTTAAGGTAGAAAAAAAAATGTAGGGCGATCCTCTATGGAAAACTGGAGACCTCATCATGTGCTGTAACGTCCACATATTTAGTAACTGCTGCATGACCTGCAAAGAATTAGAAACAAAAGACCTCACATAAATCCAGAATGCGCTTGATAGTGTGGAGTAGAGGTCCACTACTCCTGGTAGTTGGCAAACCAAAAACCTGTACAGCATAATTAACTAGTACCTTAAGTGCCTGGTTCTGTTATGCCTAAACTTTGTACTCATGAACACGAATCCACTTTGTAGATGACCATTTGTCACCTTTTATCACTGGACAACCACCTAAAAGAAATTGCAGGTAAACAGAAGAGTCAATATATTGTTGCACAACCATTTTAAGGAAAACAATTTTGTCATTGCATCAAGTATTAGAATCTCACCATGGAGGCTTGTGGGATCCAGGGTTCCATCAGGCCTCATGCTCCAGAAAAGCAATGCATCTCCCATCTTCGGTTTGACCGATATACCCCGCTTTGCACATTCAGACAGCTCATTATGAAATGGTATTGAGCTGCTATTAACTTTAGCAGAAGGAAACACGGTCTCACCGCCCTCTTCAACATCCGAACTAATTAATCAGTTGGAAAAGAAAAGTCAATTGGATCATCTATGTTGCATGTTATATGTAACAAAATGCATATCTTTGTAGTACATACAGATACATAAGAACAGTGGCTATACGCTGGCCCCCATTTTTGGTGTTGAAATCATCATGGAAGTAATCAAAGTGAGGTTCATATTTCTGTCCAACCTCATAGTGGAGAACTTGAAGGCCCTCTCCGTTTTCTGCACAGATTATGAATAAAAATGACGAGAAATTGACATCAAATTTGAAGCAAACTTCCAGAGAAAATATAAGCAGCTACGGAATGAAAAAAGTAGTGCTTCGATGTTTCAACATTGAAACATTCAAGAACTCAAAAGGGGTAGGTAGAATATATAATTTATTTGTGCAACTCTCATGTGGTGAAACGTTGAACTAGGCAGATCGACATTCAGCCATTTAGCGCTGGCAATATGATATTTCTGCAATGCACTAATTATTTTTCTTTTTGCATAAACTGGAGTTAAGACAGCTCGTGTACCTTATGTTATTAGGCATGCACAATGTCTTATTTCATTCAAATGTGCAATATTTCAAACTACCCAAAAGTAACTAACAATTACACAATGTACTGCTTTACAAAGCATAAAGAAGTTTCAAAGATGTACTAAACACAGTGGAGTGCATAATTTAGTGTGTGTATCCTTTTTATACTATTTTTTGTATGAGTGCACATGCACTGTCTAGTTAAATATGAGATATTTGACTTTAACATGTACTCCCTCCGTCCGGAATTACTCGTCTTCAAAATGGATGAAAATGGATGTATCTAAAACTAAAATACATCTAGATACATCTATTTCAATGACAAGTATTTTCGGACGGAGGGAGTATGAGATCATGCTCTGCATGCATGAGCGCTGTCTCAAGTGCAACTGTGAATTCGGTTAACAATTTTGGTACAGTGTACCATGTCCAATACTTGGTGCCCTTGCACAAATTTAAAATTTTGTCTTCTACCACTTGGTATGCTATAAAAATTGAAATTATTGGCAATGACCTTGTTGGGAAAATGGCAGACACAGAGCCAGGTCTGTGGTCCATGACAAGGTCGGAAGCATGCTGGCTCAAAGAAACAAATGTTTAACTCAACCAAGTACCTAGCATCTAAGCTAACTTAAGAACAAGATAGTTTGACAGCTAATTCGAGAACCAAAAACTCTTTTTTGTCTACTGATATGTGTAACTCAATTTATCAAATGAGGGTCTCAGACAATTGGATGCGCAAGTGTCACCTGGTATCAGGACAAGGCAATGTAAACTTGAACATACTGCCAGTACGTTCCAAGCTAATACTCCTAGTGGAATACTTGCTGCCAATTGGTATAGACTTGATAATTCTTGCTGAACATAACTGTGAAAACACCAGATCACCGAAACGCACTGCGGTTGCACTCCATAATGTACTAATACATTACTTTGCATAGTTACTTAATACTCCATGATGAACTATTCAAACTAAGTCGCAAGCCAGTGCACTTTTGGTGAATCAATGACACACAGTACTGCATGCTAATCAAAACTTTGAAATTATACCATGACGAAGACTAATGCATCAGCCTAAAAATGAAGTATACAAAATTACAGTTCAGATTTGGAAGAGCAGCTATAGTTATAACTTTTCAGTAAAACAAAATGACACTTATAGATAATTTGAGGTGGTGTTCAATTCATTTATGCTGAATTAAAGCTGAAAAGTTCTTCAAATGAACAATGCAGTGTATTTAAAATATATTCAGACCTTAAGTTCAGCAGTAATCTTTTCCCTAGGCATACTAGCAAAAACATAGAAAGGTAAAGAAACATCCAAGTATCCATGATATTGGTAGGTATGCCATACCTACAGGTATGAAGGTGAAATCTGATATTCTTTTCTCAATGGTGCGAACAATTTTATCCTGGCCTCTTTTAAGAAATGTTCCTGAACTCGTTCGCACCCTGAATACATTTCATTAAGCGTAAGTGGGCATCAGGTCCCGTAACAGTTCCAAGAGAAAGAAGAATTTGCAGTGTCCAAACCTGCTATCTTTACTCCCTCCAGTTGCAGAATCAACCACGGTCGACTTCTTCATGTGAGGCTTTGCCAATGAAATTAAATATTGACATTCTTCCTTGGACTGAGAGCAGCAGTAAAGTCAAGTCATACCCTGATCGCTATTTGAAGCGAACTAACATAGATGATAAATACTTGCGGTAATAGCAACCAGGTGTAATAAATACAAAAAATACACATGACATTTCTTCATCTCCTATTATGCAATGTCATCAGAAGTAAACACCTTCCAAAAGGCATTTTGGATAGTAATAATCACAGTGCCAAGTTTCTAATGCAAGTCTTGATATTTATCATCTACTTCTTTGATCAAAGCCCATGTGCCTGAACTTCTGAGTTTGAGCCCCTGGCTTGAAGGTCAAGCAGATTCGAAGCACAAATTATGTGTGACTATATATATGAGGATTCCTAGATGAATAATACACATGAACTCAACAAGAGCCATGTCCGGGCGCGGCTGCATGTACAAGCCCTCTACAGTGAAATGCCAGTGGCGTCCAGCTCACATCTGTTTCCTTCATGCGCAATTTTCTGTACCTAATTCACATCATAACTAGCATTCTTGCGACTGAAGTACAAGCATTTCGGATTTTACTTAACGAATCTAATCTGGTACGGATAGGCCAATGTTTACAACGAGCTCTTAACTGGAATCCAACAATAGCCTAGAATCACCGACACAAATCTCAAGATCTCCCAACCCGCATCCTATAGAACCGATAACAAAGCACGTAAGAATAAAGATGCAGCCGCTTCGGCCCAAACCAAAAAACAGAATGGGGGCAAGAGACTCACGAGGAAGTTGTGGTAGATGAACGCCCGTGGCTCCCACGACAGAACCTCCGTCCACGGCTCCCCTTTCTCCCCGCGCTTCTCCAGCCTCCTGCACGACGATAACGGAGAACAACAAGCACCACGTCAATCTCGGGATAAAAGGGACAGCGTGCGCGGGCAACGAACACGGCAGATCAGGGAGGCCGTGGACGTCGGAGGGGGAGGCGGGGACGCACGACTCGAACGCGGATCTGCGGAAGCGCGGGCGCGGGAGCGAGAGGACCGCGCCGCGGCCGGAGCCGGCCGGCAGCGAGAGCGCGCCGAGCGCCAGGAGGAGCAGCAGCGCCACCGACGCCAGCAGCAGCGCGGCCATGATCGCCTTGGATGGCTTCCCGCGCCTCCCGCCCCCGGCGCCGCCGCCCAGCAGCGGCCTCCCGCCCCGCCCCGCCGTCCTGCTCGCCATCGCGCGCGCGCGGCCGCCCGCCCGGGATGCGGCTTGGCCTCGGGTCTCCTCGGCACCGGCCCGGTGGGTTTAGCGCCTCCTCCTCGTCGTCGTCGTCGTCTCTCTCCTTCTCTCTCGCGCTGTGACCCGAGTCGTCGGTCTGTTTTGGGCTCGATGAGATATGCTGCTGCTGCATTTGTTCGGCTCGACGAGGTATGATGCTAGCTGTACCGTAACTGCTGCTGCGTCCCGTGGGTCCTGTAGGTGACGTGTCAGGACGCGGAGAAGTGGGGCCCGCTGCTGACAAAGTCCACCGGCCACGCGGCGAAAGAATGGGCCGACAAGGTACAAAGGCGCAGCCCAGCTACACGACCGAAATGTGACACTCCCACCTATCCATATTAAATCATCCACGATTAACATGGATTTTTTTTCGGGGGGAAAATATTCCATAACTCAAGGAGGCCTCTCGGCCTTAACCAAGTTTATAAGAAATTTCGGCCATCGTGCCAACCAGACTGCCCTATGGGATACTACGGACATACACGGCCAACACATGACTAGCGTTGTTCTGCCAACGGCTACACTGCACAAATACAAGCTCTCTAGACTGAAGGGTTGCCAAGCTACTAATCTCTTCAACGAGAGACCGGTCCTGTGATCTATCTGTCGTGGGCGCTTTGAGCATCGCCACAGCCTTCGCACTATCCATCTCAACAATGATAGACATTGTAGTCCTATGTAAGGCAAGGTCTATGCTTTCTCTACAAGCTAAGAGCTCCAACTCCAGCACACTCTCGCACGCGCACAATTAATATAGATCGAAGTAAGTACGCAATGTTTAATAATTATGTAGACTATACAAACTTTTCTTGTCACTTAGATGATCAGTGACAAGACAGATAGAACCAAGACGAAGAGCAATAACATGATATGCACGTCGTAATGGAAAAATATGAATACATATATTTTCCGACAAGCTGGTTACACTAAGACCTATAGAAACATGTATGGGCTCGCGGACAGGGGGTCCCCGAAACACGTATGGATGCCAGTTGTTAAATCAGGTTGTATACTTTCTGGAATATAGGGGTACCTGAAACTGTAGCTAGAGCAACTAGCTCCATAGCTGCCATTAAAATGCTTATATGAAGTCAGTTTATTTGATTATAGAGATAGGTGCCAATAAAATGCTTATATGAAATCAATTTATTTGATTAGAGATATAGAGCCCTAAAAGGAGTATGGGAGATAAAAAGAACGCCCAACTTTTCTTTCTACTGCCTCAAAAGAAAAAGATGATCGCTTTTTTATTCCGGGTAAGATGATCAGATCACTTGTGTTGAAACCCCAGACATGCTCATACTTGGCATGGGTGATCACAGTTTTATGGACTTAATTCAAGATTTAATAGGTTTATTGTTCCATTGCTAAGCAACGGCTCCGTCGACCGCGAGATGCTTGTGATGATTGTACTGCATTCCAAAAATAATAATTGAAGAACGAAAGTTACCTCGCCTTGAAGAATTTGTCCATGGATAGATGAAGAAGAAAACAAAACAGCAGCACGGACGCGGACGGAAGCCACAAGTCGTATATGCAAATAAGTGCATCTGCCGACAGCAGATGGACTAGATTAGAGTCTCTCTGGACATGCAATACGCAGCAATGCCTGATTACAACTGCTTTTTTTCGAGTAATGATTACAACTTTCCATGTAAAAGAACGATTACAACTACTACTACACGCAGGAAATCTGGCACCAAACCAAAAGCTTCCAACGTTGCTTGGGTGCCAATCCGGAGACCTCCTCCTCGGCGCTTTTGTTTAGGTAATAATCTTTGGGTCCCGATAACTGCCACACATGTGACATTGGCAGAAACCCGTTCGCACGTCTCGTGTGGCATGGACAGGAACCCGCCCGCACGACCGCGTCTGGATGCGTAATGGCATAGCTCACACGTCCGGTGTGTGGCAACCCCGCCCGCACGACCCCTCCGGGCCAGACGATCCCGCTGCCCGCACGACCCAGCCGTTCCCGGCCTCCGATCGATCCCAATTCCCGACTGCCGCCATCGTTCCCCACCTCTCGAACCCCTACCTCCACCGCCGGCCTTCTCTGGTTGTCATGGCAACCAGAGCAGATCTGTAGGGCCTTCCCAACGCAAACCACACCCCAACCCTCCCCCACCCCCGCCCCCCACTC